GGAAGCAAACATACTCCTCTCTGTGTGTTGAAATCTGTCCTGGAGTGTGGAGTCTACCCCCGCTGGCCACACATTTCACATTTTAGGTGCTTTATTGGTATGACAAATAACTGAACATTCATATTGCCAAAGCAGTGCAGCGTCGCTGCGTACAAACAAGACAGTGCAAAAAGGGCAGTAGTGCAAACAAATATGAATATAAAATATAATACAGAAATAAAGAACATAAAATGAAAAAAAATAGATTAATAAAAATAAAAATAGGTTTATAAAAATAAAGATTAAGAAAAAATAAAAATAGATTACCACACTTTGATGGTCCTCACTGATGGCTTCACACGGTTGATGAGGTGTGAGTACTTGGGGTAAGGAACAAAGAAAGGTGATCTGACTGAGCAATTACATTGCTATTACAATGTAGTTAAAATGCTGTTACATTATAATTACATCCAAGATAATATTTATGAACCTAAATGTTACTTTGTACATTTTATGTACAGTATTTGTGTATTACAGTTATGTACATATACACAGTACACATGTAATATGTAATTACACACTTTTATCTTGGGTGTGTTTTGCTATATTATTACTATGTAAATACATTGTAATTACATACACGATTTATAACGTTTGTATAAATCATGTACAGTTTGTATTCATAGTTATATACTTAAATATGCACAATACACATGTACGCAATATGTTATTAGAAGCTTTAATCTTGATTTATAAACAAGTTTGTACGTGTATGCAATTATTTTGATGGTACATCGTAATCACATATGTCAAGACAGTGTAATTACATTGTAAATATATTACGTGTATGATAATATTAAAATATCATATGTTAAATCTATTAATATTTACAATTGTAAATATTTCTTTGTGTATTTAATGTAATGTATTTGTGTATTTAGTTATTTATGTAATTACACACAATACACATCTAATGTAATCACAAACTATTATCTTGAATGTAATTGCATTACTATTGCATCGTAATTACATCCCAAGTAATATTTATTATTGTGTTTCTTTGTATATTTTGTGTACAGTGTATATGTATAGTTTATACTTAAATGTACACAGTACACGTGTATGTATTATGTAAGTACAAGCTTGTATCTTAGATGTGATTACAGTGTCACTACAGTGTAATTACTATGTCATTACATTGCAATTACATTGTATCTATGGGAATGCATAAACTTTGAAGCTCAATATCTCAAAATCATTTAGAATGTAGATAGAATCTTATAATTCTTAGGCAACGCTGCATTTACAAACTTTTATTTTTTTAATGTAATGACATTGTAATTAAATTGTTATAACATTGTATTTACATCTGAGATGTTATATGTAATTACAAACATTTATATTGTGTGCAATTACTATGTCATTAAATTGCTATCAAATTGTAATTACATCCAAGATAATATGTATAAGCATGTTTCTTTGTATATTTCAAACACAGTATTTGTGTATTTTTATGTAAATATACACAGTACATTTGTGATTACAAAATTTATTTTTGATTGTAATGACAATGTAATACATAGTTATAATATTGTAATTACATCTGAGTTGTAATATGTAACTACAAACTTTTATATTTTACAATTATTGTGTTGTTACATTGTAAATACATTGTAGTTACATCCAAAGTAATATTTATGAATGCATTTTTTGTATATTGGATGCACAGCATTTATATTATTTAGTTGTATACATACACAAAGTACACATTCAATTACAAACTTAATTACTAAATTATTACATTTTAATTACATTGCTGTTACATTGTACTTACATAAAATATAATATTTATAAACCTACTTCTTTCTTTATATATTTTATGAACTTTATTTGTGTAATTATAAATAAATATATGTGGTACATTTGTATTTACAAACTTAATTAACTAGAAAATATTTATCGATGTGTTTCTTTGTATATTTAATGTAAAGTGTGTATGTAGTTTATCCTTAAATGTACACAGTACACATGTATGTAACATGTAGTTACAAACTTTTACTTTGTAGTTACATTGTAACTATGTTGTAGTTACATCCAAGATAATATATAAATGTAAATGTGTCTGTATATTTCTTGTACAGTATTTGTTTATTTATAGTATTATATGTAAATATACACAGTACACATGTAATTACAAGCTTTTAATTTGGATGTAATTACTGTGTCGTTACATTGTAATTACATCCAAGATATTTTTTATAAATGTAGACTGTATATTTCATGTACAGTATTTATGTATTTATAGGTAAATTTAGTCATAAGTTATTACAAATGTTTTATTTAGGATGTAATTGCATTGTTATAACATTGTAATTAAATCTATGATAGTAGTGTAAATTTGTTTTTAAATTTCTTTTATATATATATATTTAATGTGCAGAACAGTATCGTCACCTTAGAATTATAAGGCTCCATTTTTCTCAAAATTGAGTTATTCACATATTCACAAGTTTTATCTACGAAGTTAGACTCTAAGCTTGTCTCTACGTTTTTTTCTGTGAGCCAATGGCATTTCAAATGCACGAAAGGGCCAATCAATCAAGATTAGCTTTCTTTGTCATTTCAGCAGATTGCTCCGTTGACATTGGGAAAGACAAGTAAGAAACATAGCATTATTTATAAACTAAAAACACAACACACCTAAAACTAAAAAAGTGTGTAAATTTGATGATTTAGAAGTCTTTTTTTTCACATTGAGATGAAATGTTTAATTTTACAATGTTGAAAAAGAAACAATTCTTAAAAAATTTAACATATTAAATGTAAAATGTTTTTATTTAGGTAGATATAGTCAGTGAAACATTTTTCATTGTTAATTAAACTTGAGTTGCGAAATTAGCTCAGTTTATGAATATTAATAATCCATAATAATGAGTTATTATTAATATTCCTGCTTAATCTTCTGTAAATTTGGTTAAGCAAATATATAAATATATATGATTCTGCTCGCTCGACCGAGCAGACTCTCAGATTATGAATATTAATAATCAACAATAGCTAACTATTATTAATCATTAATATTCTGGCTTAACTCATTGTTAATTTGACCAAATAACTATAACCAGAACTTGCCCGCTCGTCCGAGCGGACTCTGTAATGATCTATTTATTTAGAAAGGGAATTATTACTACTTCTTGTGAAGTAGATTAATCATTCATAAGTTTTGATCAACTTAATAGCAGCTAGGCAATGGAATTTATCGTTTCAGTGACTTTTTCTGTAAGGCAAACAATACAATCCATTTGATTATAATGGGATTTATTGTCTAGTCATACTAGTCAACATAACATACTAGTCGACATAACATAAAACATAGAACAAAGGTATACTGCATCTAGGTATATATGAGTCTATAGAACATATAACAAACAGAAAGGACGAAAAAAGCGAGGAAATACAGAGTTCAGATAAAGAGTGGCAAATCTACCTCAGTTCCACACACTATCAAGGATCACCAAGATTATAAAAACACCTTTTTGATAAAAGGGGCACATCTTATTCGCATAAATACCTGTAGTTTAGGATCTCTCTGTCTCTCTCTCTCTTTGTGAGTTTCTTCCGATGTGCTCTTTCTTGATGCGTGGAATTTGCAATACAGTTCGAAGGATATGCGATCGCATAGTTTTACTTTGCCGTAAAAATAAGAAACGTGGGCTCGGATGAGCCACACGGTCACAGACCTCTTGGAGAGTTTTTTTCCGGACGTTCTTAGGGACGTAGCTGGGTTTTAAACTTTGGTCTGGCCACACCTCTTTTCTTACAAAGTGACCAATCGTTTCGTGGAGTTTCAAGTTTGAGTGGGGGATCTTCTTTGTCTCTGGCCTGCTAGTATGCAAATTAAGGGTCTGCCCAAAAGCATGCGGAGGGACATTAACTCAGAGCATTAAATAATGTAAGCCGAATTGATCATGATCATGCCTCCTAGGTCATGGGCTGTAGAACTGTGTAAGCTGCAGAACGGTACCACACATGATGCCCTCAGAATTATGTAAGATGTCATGTTTTGATCCTCGATTGTTCTCACGCAGTCAAGTGATGCGATTTTGCAGGTCAGGTCACCAGGCTTGAACTTTGCACCAAAGTAACCTGTCTATGGTCCCCTAGACTTCCATTCATACGTACGCGAATGCATCAGACCGGAAACGGAGGGTCATTTGTTAAGTTGTGCAGGTTGCTGCGGTGCAAAGTTCAAGCTTAGTGAACTGATAGAAAATAATCATAACAATCCTAGATTTTTATTTAACACCATTGCTAAATTAGCAAATAATCGGTCATCCTTGAAACATAATGTTCCACATCAAATTAGTAGTGATGACTTCATGAATTTTTTCAGTGATAAAATAGAAGGCTTTAGACAGAAAATAGTAGATGCTAAACTTTCTGCACCGCCTTATACTCCAAATCCTATAAATATTTTACTGAGTCATAATAATAATAATAACTTACAGTGCTTCAAAATCATAGAACAGGAAGAGCTAGATAAAATTATAAATAGCTCTAAACCAGCTACGTGTATGCTGAACTCGATTCCAACAAAATTACTGAAAGAATTGCTGCCTGCTATAGGAGAACCTCTTCTTAACATTATCAACTCTTCTTTATCTATAGGCCATGTTCTAAACTCTTACAAGCTAGCTGTTATTAAGCCTATTATTAAGAAACCACAACTGGACCCCAACAAATTATTTAATTAGTTAATTATAGGCCTATTTCAAATCTTCCATTTATGTCTAATGTAGTGGAGCGGCGTAACTAAGCTACTAAGGTGCTGAGACTAAGTGATGGTTAAGGTTGCTAAAGGGTTGCTAAAGGGTTAGCTCCCTTTGAATCCCCAAACCAAACGCCTTCTCAATTTAAAATTTATACCGATTACGCCACCTGGGATTCAAACCCAGGAAAAATATTAAAAGGTCACACAGATTCGTCTCTTTTTAGTTTAAGGAGCAGACAGGAGACATGAGTAAATACAAAAATACAAAAAAGTTTATTCACAATTCTTTAAAAAGGCTAACACTAAAATAGGTCCTGATGACCAGTCCACTCTGGAGGGCTTACTCACAAAAGGCACTGAAAGTGATTATTTTTCAACCCGCACACAGAAAACACTCCATATTATACTCTCCAAATCAATGTTCCCAAATAGAGCCATTCAATCACAGGACTGGGGCTACCCACAGGAGTGATCACCCGTGAAATACACCATACACTTTTCACCACAGCACACTCCAGCCACACACCCTAGTGCATCAGAAGTGTCCCACAGCACACACTGGCACAGCAGCACCACCACCAAAAGGTTCCTTCACCCGTGGCCCCCAGCTCCTGCAAGAAACAGAAAGAAAATACCAAGAGCCACTAATGGAAAAATGGCTTCTCTCAAACAGGTTAATTTTACACAAAGCACAGACACAAATCAGTCACTCGGATCTCAATACAGAGTAATAATGAAGGCTTCTTGAAATGAATTAATGAACTAGATAGTCACAGGAAAGGAAGATCCACAGAATACACTTTGGTGCAATTGAACATTTACACAATTTCATCACATTGATGACAGTTTGTTCAATGTTGACGGCCCCAGGTCAGCCAACACAACTGATCCTTCTATTTTCTTTAAAATACAATAAAAGAGGTCTTGACAGAGCTCGGTCAGTACTCAGACAGTAACATCAAGAAGATAGCATTAAATGCTTCTGGATTGTAGCATGAAGGTTCTTTAACAGCAGCGACAAATGTGGGCACATTTACGATCCGAACGAGAAGGAGAATCCAACCATGAATAAGGTGCTCTTATACCAAATTGATTAATTGCTGAAGTTGCACACTAGATCAATTGATTGATTGATATAAAAAGTCTTAACCACACAAACTGACAGTGGGGCAGTCAGTCGTCCAATCAGTCCAAACACTGATGGAAACACACATAAACCAGGCAGGCTGGAAGCCATTGCCAGCACACACGCACACCCACACAGGAAGTGGAATTCAGAACATGCCTCATAACAGGCTACAGCCCTCAGCAATAAATAGGGGCGTACTTTGCACTGATTGGTCATTGAAGACGTCAATCACCATCACTTACCTCCTGCACCCTATCACACTAAAATACTAGAAAAAGTAGTTTCTACTCAATTATGCTCCTTTCTGCAGACCAACAATATTTTTGAAGTGTTTCAGTCAGGTTTCAGAGCTCATCAGAGTACAGAAACCACATTAGTGAAAATAACCAATGATTTACTCTTAGCTGCTGATCAAAGGTGCATCTCGCTATTAGTTCTACTCGATCTTAGTGCGGCATTTGACACCATTGACCACAATATCCTCAAAAAAATCGCTTTAAGTCTTCAGGTGTCCAGGGACAAGCTCTACAATGGTTTAAGTCATACTTAACTGACCGTTACCAGTTTGTGAATATTAATGGACAGCCTTCAGAAGTTAGCCCAGTAAATTATGGGGTGCCTCAAGGATCAGTTTTAGGCCCTTTGCTGTTTACAATTTACATGCTACCACTGGGAGACATTATCAGAAGACATGCGATCAGCCTTCATTGCTATGCAGATGATACTCAATTATATATTTCAACTAAACCTGATGAGATGTCTGAACTGTCTAAGCTAACTGAGTGTATTAGAGATGTTAAAGACTGGATGACCAACAATTTTCTTCTCTTAAACTCAGACTAAACAGAATTATTACTTATTGGGCCTACTGTAAATCCAGTACACAGCAGATCTCGCAACTCAATTTACAATAAGAGGGATACAAAGTTAGCGTTACATCTACTATAAAAGATTTGGGTGTCATATTAGACAGCAATCTAACTTTTAAAAACCATATATCCCATGTCACAAAAACTGCCTTCTTTCACCTGAGAAATATTTCTAAATTACAAAGTATGCTATCCATTTCAGATGCAGAAAAGCTAGTACATGCTTTTATGACTTCTAGGCTGGATTACTGTAATGCTCTATTTGCTGGCTGCCCAGCATCCTCTATTAACAAACTTAAATTAGTACAAAATGCAGCAGCCAGAGTTCTTACCAGATCTAGAAAATATGATTATATCACCCCAATTTTATCCTTCTTACACTGGCAGCCTGTTAAGTTTTGTATTGAATTTAAAATATTACTTCTCACCTATAAAGCTCTAAATAATCTAGATCCTGTTTATCTAACCAACCTTCTGTCTCGTTACAATCCAGTTTGCTCTTTAAGATCTCAAAACTCAGGGCTTCTGGTAGTACCTAGAATAGCAAAGTTGAATAAGGGAGGTAGAGCCTTCTTCTTTATGGCTCCTAAACTCTGGAATAGCCTTCCTGATTATGTCCGAGGCTCAGACACACTCTCTCAGTTCAAAACTAGATTAAAGACCTATCTGTTTAGTAAAGCATACACTCAATGCATCACTTAGCGGATTTCCACACAAGTTTCTGCATCTTGTTTATATACACTATGAACAGCAGCTACGCTAATTATTCTCTTTATTCTCCATGTCCACTTGGGGATACTCATACCGAGGTCCTCAGATTATGCGGAGACACTGATTGGACCCAAGACCAGCGATGAGATGATCCCAAGGTGTCCATATCCGGGACCAGGCCGTATCCTGAGCTACTGCTGCGCTGTTGGTCATGGGGGTGTGGAGAGTATGAGACTGATTCCAGTGACGCTCCAGGGACAGACGAGTCTTCACTGAGGCCAGCTTCCAGCCTCCACTGCTGAGACTGCAGCTCTGCACAAGACTTTTGGCCAGCAGAGAAATTAAAATGGTCATGCCGAACCGAGTCTGGTTATAATCAATGTTTTTTTTCTTTACTCTCCTATTGGTGAAGTTTTTTTTCCCTCTTTGCTGGCTTGCATGGTTTTGGATCTGAAAAGTTACTCCTCGATGAATTTGCTCTTCAGTATTTGGACTCTCAATAATGACTTCAAACCACACAGAACAGAGCTAAACTGAACTGAACCTAAACACTAAAACTGAACTACCCTGATCCAGTTACTATGACCATTTATGTGAAGCTGCTTTGACATCTACATTGACAATCTACATTGTAAAAGCGCTATACAAATAAAGCAGAATTGAATTGAATTAAATTGAACTCTGACCTGCGAAATCGCATCACTTGACTGCATGAGACCAATTAAGGATCAAAACATGACATCTCTGGACAGAACTTTAAAACCTGGAGCGATTGCTAGCTTTTAAAAACATTTAATAAGATTGTTTTAATCCCACCCCTTTTTGCAGTGCCGCACAACAGAATGTTGCATGCTCAAAATCTAATGTGACCGCAGCTTAAGTCATACTAACGGTAAAGTAAAACATGCCAAGTAAAACAAGCAATCGCTCGCTTTTAAAAATGTCTAATAAGCCTGTTTAATCCGGCCCCTTTTTGCAGCACCGCACGACAGAAAATCGCATGCTCAAACTCTAGTGTGACCGTAGCTTTACTCAAAACTAGTACTTGATAATAATTAGCGGTGTCAAAATTTACACGTTAACGCATGCGATTAATTTGAAATAATTATCGTGTAAAAAAAAATGAATGCAGTTTTTTTTTTTTTCTTCCTGTTGTGGCCACGGGGAGACCGGACAGTTTCTCGCTGGGTCGACGTACTTTATGGGCCGGGCTGATCATCTTCTTATGATCTGATTGGCCCATAAAACACTCGGCAGACTGTCATGTTTTTCTGCCTCAGTGATTGACGGTGCTGTGAGCTGTCCCGCTCTGAAAGTAAGATGTTTCTTTTCCGGACAGAGCGGCCGTGTGACATAATCTGCAGCCCATTGGTTCTTTTCTTTATTGACATTGCGCTGACCCAATCACAAACTTCCATGTTGGGCTCTGTGTAATGTAGGTGTGTATTTGTCAAAAAAGCAGAGAGTCGTGCCTTTTTCTTACGCGCGGGTCCGCGCCGCGGGAGAGCAGGCTTTTGCGTCTGCACTCTGCAGTGGGGCACAGATCAATATATTCCTGTCTGTTCTATCTAGTTACCTATCTGTCCATATAAATGTACTTTTTTAACTTTTAATCTGCACCACGGCCCGCAGCAACTTCCTCCTGCTGTTTCCTTAACCTGCAAGTCTTTATTTTACAAATGATAAAGAATGTCTGCTTCTCAAGCTCTTTGAGGGGTATCAGTCATGCATTTTAAGATGCACTCGGTCAGAAGACAATGGCAGGAGATATCATGACACTGTGTTTTTGATCGTCAACATGATGTAGGCTTAAAGTGACAATAATATTTATACAAAATGGTTATTATAATGATATTTATTCATGACCAAACTAGTGTGCAACTTCAGCAACTTTTTTTTACATTTAGTTTTGTAGTTCGGGTCCAAACAAATATTTGTTACATTTTTCAATTGTTTAAGTTCATTTGATTGACAATGTAAAATCTTTTAGCTACGTTTGATGTTTCATTGTTGAGTTATACATTTATTTAAGGGTCTCTGACACATTGCTTTTATTATTTATCTTTATTTTATTAATCAACCTTAACTGTGTGTCAGCAGGCAGTTTTTGTTATGTTCATTATTTATTAGGCTCCCTCATAACACACAGGCACCCACATTTCCAGTGTGAATTATAATTTTATTATAATAACAAATAATAATAAAAAAGTTTTTAATTTGTCAACTCATGTTATTTCCTATAAATGGCTTTTGTGCTATTATTGAATGGGAGTTGGTAAACATATTCAAGGGTGTGGGGTGATGGGGAGCATTTTGATTGATGTAGTGAGCTGCTCTGGCCCAAAATGCCAGGGCCGATTTTTTTTTTGTCACAGTCCAGCCCTGCAATGAGTGCATTTGTTTGTATTCAATACTTTATTATTATTTTTTTTTTCCATATCTGTAATGCCTGTATTTTGGCATTTTTTTGCAATCCACTTAGAATTCAACATAGAAATCAATGTTTTCTGTATTGGCATTGTTTGTTTTGAAATTTAAATGGCATTAACATGGCTGTGTTTTTATTTCTGTAATAAATATGGCTGTCAAGCCAGGATCTTGATGGTTTATTGTGGCTATGTTGTTTACATGAAGAAATCTGTGTTACAAGTTAAACAAAAATTCTAACAATGAGTTAAATTTTGAATTTAAATAGTATTTGTCTTGTGTTTACATTAATTTTACATTCGATAGCCAAAATGACAAGTTTCAGTCTTATAAATGTGATTAATTGCGATTAATTGCGATAAATTTTTTTTAACAAGTGCGATTAATTAGTTTTTTTTTTTTTTTTATCGATTGACAGCACTAATAATAATGCTTTGGCATGATGTATTGATAGCAAAAAAAAAAAAAAAAAAAA